GTCAAGACTTTTTTCCAACTACTTTACACAAGTCTCTTTATCGGTCCTGCCCACGACTAGCGGCGCAAACTTCCTATGCTTCCCTGATCCGAATGAGCACGCCTCTGCAACCTGCTTCTGCTTGCTAGACTCGAGCTCCTTGGACGCCACCTGAAACGACAGCGACTGGCAGAGTGAAGAAGAGAGCGAACTGTGCTGACGTGCCCTGCGAACGACTGTCAAGGCATCCCAGGACACTCGCTCTCGATTTGCTTCCGAAGACATCTTCCAAGCTTCGAACTCCCTGCCGGCCTCCGACTGGCAAAGGGCAGCTCGCAGTGAAGCGACCTCTGCCAACCTCGGCTGGGCGAATCATCTCAAGCGATCTTTTTCTCGAATCGGTGAAATATTATGCAATCGAGCAACACCTTGGACAACGATGCTGAATGCTCCAGTGCCTGCCATGCCAAAACTGCATGCAGCATCCCTTGTCTCGTTCAAGAAACAGCTTGCTGACCGTATACTTGAGCAATCTGCCTTCAAGCTATCCGTCGCCTTGTTTCTGGTACCACCAAGTAGCAACCGTGACGGAAAGTATCGATTCCAGATTGAAGCTTGGATGAACTACGTCAGCGTCCTTCCTCAGCATGGCACTCCGCATAAACTGGCGGTCCGCAAACATTTTGCCTATCGCTTCAAACCGATGTACTATGCCCGAAAGAACTCCCCCATGGACTTGTGGATACTGCTGTCGGCTTTGCGGTGCTCGAGGCCCGCCTGAGCCCGCCTCAGCCCGCCTGCACATGTTCGCAGACTTGGCAAAGCATTAAATCCGCTGGCGCCGACGCTCTGCAGCTGAGCCCTTGTGGCCGCTCTCAAGGTGGCGTCTCAGCTGTTGTCTTGCAACGTCTTCGCTTCATCGGCTTGGGTGGACTGCCCATGGCGTCCTCATGAGACCCAGAAAGGAGGAAGGCTAGGCTCCAGAAGGGACAAGGATAGGGCGGATGGGGGACATGAGAGGCCTGGACTGGGCCACCAGTGCGCTTGAGTTCACCATCGATAACGGAGTTCACAACGTGCATGTGATCTTCCTGGCACACGACCCACCACTTGATCAACAATCCTGGAAGTGCACCAACAACATGCTCATATATTATCACTATATGTCAGGCATGGCAACAGTGCACACAGCGCTCCATCTGCCTGCACGCTGCCGCTGCGAAGGTATGACACGAACTGCTCGTAGGACCTCACATGGCGCGCTGCTCATGCTGCCTCCGGACAGTTCAGAACTGCTCGAACTGCTGTAACCGACAAGGAACACTCTGCCCTGCTGCTCTGGGTCCACCTGCGAAGCAAAGAATTTCTAGCAGCACTACTGAATGAAGAAACGAAAGCGATAAAAGGCCAATAGAAAAGAGAAATAGATGTGTGTTCGTTTTTGTTTTGTTAAATGAAACGAACCCTGCGTTGCTCATATTCTTTGCTTCCTTCAACATTGTAACAAAGCCAATGAAACACACGCTAAATTAAATTAAAGCACGACATCGAAGTGAGCGGACCTCAAGTCACAAAAAGGACAGCTTCGGAGCCTCGGCAAGCAGCTCCCCGACGGGAGCGCCTTCGAAGGAGTCGCCCAAAAGCTTCTGAAGGCTCTCGCGGGAGATGAAGCCACGACCATCCTTTCTCTTCAGGTCTGGGCAACTTCAGAGGCTCTCTTCCCGTCACTGCTCTGTGGATCCTTGGGCTTGCAGCCCTGCGTCAACATCAAAGCGAGCGAAGGCCGATCGAAGAAGCTGGTCATGCCTGAGAGCTGCTCTTCGCTGCCCCGGAGGCCAAAAGGACCTTTTACCGCGCTGCTGCAAGGATGCATGGCAATGCGAGAAGAGACCATAGCCGCGAGGAACTCGCTGTAGTGCACCTCCGGTGCTCAGGATCTGCTCAGATTCAGCGCGGACGATGACTCGCAGCCGCAAGCAGGGTCAGGGCCTCGTCACAGTGGCTGGAGTCCAGTGCGTGGAAGATCCCTGCGACCTCCTGGGTGCACCAATGAACAGGCAGCAGAATGCGCCAAAAGAACGAGGTCTTCAAAGGCTTTGGTGTCCACTCGGTGACCAAACATGAGGCAGCTTGCAAGTCCAAGTTGCCTGGTCGGTGATGTCCTTGCAGTAAAAAACTACAGCTTCTGCGCACGCTGTACAGACTTCTTCTGCAATGACATGAAAGTGCTCGCACCGTTGCATCCAGACACTGCTTCAGAAGACCCATTGTGCAAGTCAGAGCTACATTGGTAAGGACACCTTGCCGAACACAAGAGAAGACTAAAGCGGAGCAATGTAGCCGGCCGCAGGGACTTCCAGTCTGACTCGAATCGTTATCAGAGCTCGTGTCGGGATGTTGTTCCACAATCGACTTTGCATTCAGGCAACTTGGCGATGTGCAAAGCCCGACAGAACCAGCTAGCCGAAGAAGTTGCTGGCACCGCGTGTCTGAAACCGATGGACAAGCGCCAGCATGGAGAAAGTTTCACAGGCCCGCAGGGACGGCTCGTATCCCTCAACTCTGCAACTAGGCCGGGCATGCGCCATGAACGACCTAGCTGGTAGATCCCCTCTTTCGCCGACTGGTGGTCCTCATTGTGGATGTTTTGTACTGGGTTGCAAAAACCTCCAAGACTAGCCATCTTCCAACTTGTCATGTGAAGTCGGGAGCAACAAGAACCCGCCTGTGAGTTCAGTCGAGATTTTTGACGACATGCTTTGCTGGACCCTCGCAGAGAAGACATGGTTTGTTGCACGTCGTTCAAGCAAGAGTGAAGACGAGCCACAAAGTGGCTCAGCACGTCTCGCATCTCGTGAAGTCGGATAGTACCTCTCCGAGATGTGTCCAGCTCCAGAAATGCATCGACGACCTCGCGATTTAACCGCAAATTTTGGTGCGGAAGTTTGGTCCCACTGTTTCAGGCAGGGTGCTGACTTGCGCTCCTCATGGGTCAACGACCAAGCCATCAGAGACATACCTTACTGTGAGGGCGTGTGTCTGCGAGACCCAAACTGCCACGGAGCTAGACAAGACAAGCGAACTGTTTCCAGTTCTCGTGGAACTTGGTTCTACCTGGCTCGCTTGAGCAGGTATGGAAAGGCCGAGGCACAGGCACGCCTGAACTTTGAGGCCTCCCCGAACTTCCTGTGATGTTTCTTGTCTCTTTGTGCCCAAGGAGGCAGGGGGAAGAGAGAGAGGGAGAGAGATGGGCACCTACCAGAAGTGGTCCCGTGCCAAGACTCCCCCTGCACAGCATGTCCTGTTTCCTTTCACTCTCACATGGCCACATCCCCCACATAACTTCGATAATTTCGTGATGCAGGCCAGATGTAGAAAGCTTCTTCTGCAGGCCGGCTCATGCGTTCCGTTCTTGCGGCTGCTCCCGGGAGTTGCTTCAAATGGACGATGCACATGTCCAGCCCTTGCTACCTACATTGACCTACATTTCGCAAGTCGCAAAAGTAATAGAGAAATTTCCCACCGGCAGGTCCCGGCCTCAGGGCATCAACGACAGAGCGATCCACCCGGCAGCTCTCGGAAGGGATTCGCTCCCTGTCCTGCGCGCTGCGCATCCAAAATCCGAAAGCTCGCGCCTCCGGCCCGGGCTCCTTAATCCACTCATGCGCAAGAGCCTCATCGGCACTCATTCGTTTGGCAGGGTCCACCACCAACAGCTTTCGAACCTTGACAAACTTTCAGCAGCACTCGATGTCTCGAAGTGCAGGGATGTGCAGAGCATCACAAGGACATCACCGATCAATCCCATGAAACATCTTCAGGAGACAAAGTCTTTGGCTGCAGCAGAAACGGGCGTCCATTCCTGAGCAAGAACTCAGGGCAATCCTCTCCATGGTTGCGGATACTTGCATTCCTGTCCATCCAGCCTCATCTTCCATGTCATACATTCCAGACATGATGCACACGATCTGATGTTGCTCCTGAGTTACATGGCCCGAAGCCCTTCGGCGGCTCAAAGCAGTTGGATGGAACTGCAGTAAGCCTTGCAGGGGCCAAAAGAACCTAGTCAAGACCAGGTGCTGATCCTGCGAAGGGCATGCAGCCAGAAAGGAGTATGTACACAATTACCCCAAGAGACCACCTCGGAGTCGTGGCAGCTCAGATCGCTGTAAATGCGCAGTCAATTAGACTCGATAAAACATGCCGAAACTGGCATGGGCACAAGTCGCACTTGGAGCTGTAGGTCTTGTTCAACACCTGAGGACCGCAGCTTCGCGCCGGGCACCCCACACATCTGCGACTGGGCATGGAGCGGCCATGTGCGACCACTGCGTCCGGCCTCCGGCGCGATGTAACCCAGCGTCCCGGAGCTCGCCTTTGGCCGAAGCGAAAGCCCATCAGGAGGCGCCCGCTGCCCTCCCCTGAAAACCCGCGCAGGGCATGCCTCCATCTTCGTGTTCGGCTCCCACACTTTGCCTGCAGCCCAGCTGCACCGGGAGTTTGCGGGGGGTTCTATCGGTTGTATAAAAGCCCAAGGCGCTGAGGCCGAAGTCGATTAACTTCAGATGGTCCGTGTCCTGCGGGGGGCGGTCCAAGTTTCCTTTAAAAGCCAAGTGAACCTCGTAAGCCGTCCTTCCGGGCATACATGAAGTTCTCCAACTTGATGTCCTCGCCGGGACGCTTGACATGAAGTCTTTGCATTCAGGGGCTGGTGCAAACCACTCAACAGTCAGATTCGACGGGGCATCTGGTGTTCGCGCTACTTCAGTCCATACTTCAATACCAGGACTACGTGGCAGCAGTGGAATTTTCAGTTGCACTGTTGCAGATTCACGGGCCAGAATCCCACTCGATCTTCTGCGCTTGCAACTGCTAGCCGAGCATCCCGGTGGACGATCCCATGGCTGTGAATGTAATTCCTGGTCACACACGAATGTAGACAGAAGCAAATGTCGTTGATCCGAGAGCTTTAGCCAGAAGGCAGCGCCAGGAGCATCTGCCAGGCGGTGTGCGCTGCGTCTCGTTCCGGGAAGACCTCTTGGAGGTTTTTTCCGAGATTCTTCCCTCCTCTGCGGACGTTGGCATGCATGTTGCTCCGAATGGCAGGACCTCGCGGTCCATAACTCGGCTGAACAGCTCACCACCTGCAGGCGCAAGCAGTGAAGCGAACCTAACCCACACCGCAGCCTGCGGGTTAGCCTTCCATGCATTCCATCACCAGGCTCATCCGACCTTCGGCCTCGCCAGACAGGAGAAGTGTCTTGCCACTTCACCGACTGCACCCCACATATCTCCAAAGGCGGAATGGGAGTCCTGCCTGGTAAACATCGAGCAGACGGGCCACTCGGGGATGATCCATGCTCAGGAATAGCTCCTCAGGCAGGGCAGGACATACGAAAAGCGGCATGTAACAGTATTCTGTCGCGCTTGTGCTGATCCCTGCCAAAACGCGAAACACACGTAAATACACCACCGTCCAACCAAGCTAGTGAATCTCAGTCGCGACTTCATTTTCCAGCTCACGACTCGCCTTGCATTGAGCAAGGCTTGCCAAATCGCTCTGTCTCCTGGCTCGCACCGCACCTTCTCGGTGATGCCCACGAGGCTTAAGCTCTTCACTGCCACGGGTTGTTCAGTGGTGCGGCTTACCGCCTCGGGAAGAGCAGTCCAAGAAGGCGATGTACCCGAACAACTCCATCATTGCCTGCAGCACTTGACCACTGCAGCCGGTGCCAAGGACCTGCACCGGGAACCAAGGGTTGTCACCATTGCAACAACACCGAGAAGGAAAAGTTCACTGCCAGGCCAAGCCGGACCGGCCTTTTCGCTGACTCTGTAGTCGTCCTTGCAGGTCACTCTGATAAGTTCTTGGCACGAGGTCAGCGGCTTCGTGCGCTCAGCCCTGCGAGGCCTGGAGAGTGCGGGGCAGCCGATGAAAACCTTGCCAAAAGCAGTCGCAACGCGAAGGCGAAGCCAGGACTCTGAATTCCTACGGGATGGATAAACACAGACAGCCGTGGGGCGGCCGAGCACCGCAGGCACCGAAAGCCGCCGCTCGGCCCGCTCCAAGGAGTCGTTGGAAACCATGGCATTTCTGAGACAAAGATCCCAAAGACTGAGGACGGTTGAGGGACGTCCTCCGTTGGAGAATGCCGAGCAGCCTCTGGGTTCGGTTGCTCTTGGTTTTTTGTTTGCCACGTGCTGCACTGCACTTTACATCCACCTCACCTCTCTAGGGCTCCTTGCAACATGGACCACGAAAGTCAAATTACTCCAGAAAGCTGTGGGGTCATGAAGGCATCATGGCAGCAGGACATTACAGGCACAGGGAATTCAATGAAACCTTGCTTGTGTTTCGATGTATTTGATCGATCCAAGCTTCGTAGATGACAACTTCTGAGCTAGGTAACGACCCGCATGCATGCTTCTACCTCCACCTGGCGGTGTGTCCTTCTCACCAGCTTCTTCGCCTACAGTCGCTAGGGGGGTCCGAAGCTTAACGGGGCTTTCAGGGCCTGGGATCTGGGTCTCCAGCCTGCGCATTGCCGGAGTCTGCCTCCACAGTGCCTGGCTGCACCGCTGCCGCCTCCGACTAGACCGCAAGTTCTGGGTCTGCGCTCCAACTTCATCAGCTGGCTTCGGAAGGTCCCAGAGTCCGAAGCAGGGCGAAAGGCCCTGTGTGACAGCCCATCCCGACACGGGCCTGCGGAGTCCTCTTTAGGACAGCCGCATGCACCTGCCGTTTTCCCACTTCCCACGCATTAAACCTCGGACCCTCGGACCCGGTGCACGTGGAGTGGGGGGAGACGGTCTCTGCATCCGAGGCACCTCCGAATCGCGAGGCCTCGAGGAGCAGGCGCTGCCCGGGTTGATCTTGATCCCAAAAGGCCTGCTGAAAGCAGAACATCACCATGGCATTATCGTCGTCAACATGTCATTGCAAAGGCCAGGGCACCGCTTTAAAAAACATCTCTTCATAAGGGAATGTCGCGGTGGTGCATACTTCTGCGCCAAGTCTGGCACCCATGCGCCACAGCATCCAAAACTCCGGAAGGACCCACAGCACACCGGGTCAACGGCATAAAACATCCAACAGTTTGGAACAAGTTGATCAACCTGAGACTGAATAAAAACCCAAGCTCTTCCGCTAGGAGAATGCAGATTTCCACAAGATCAGATCTGGATTTTATCTCGTCTCTGGGAATGAACTTGCTTTGTGCAGGAGATTGGGGATTACTCTTCGATGATCCTGGGGAATGATCTAGCAGCTCTCAGTGTACGCACGATTGCAGTCGTTTCCGATGGGCTTTCGAAGGCGATGGAAGGAGCCCGCTACCCGTGAAGAAGATCATCATCTCACTATCTTCTTCACCACCACTTCCGCCCTAACGATCGTTTTTACATTTGTCATGGACGCCGCAACAGTCATGAGCGAAAAGCCGCTGAATGACGTGAGCACGTGGACTAGCTACTCAGCATAAGTCTTTGTCGATCTCCTGCAACGACTCCCCGCGCACACTTTCACGACAGGCCTCACTGCAAGATTTGGGGCACCAGGCGACCCAGCCGCAGGTTTCACCTCCATTACAAGAACGTATTGCGGCTGGGGTCGTTGTCACAGTTTTCCAGTGTCGGTCACCACACCCTATGTCGGCACTGCAGGACTTACGATGCGACACCACAGAACATCTCAGGAGGCGCCTTTCTAGGACTGCTCGGGGCTGCTTCGCGTTCACAAGAACACATAAACGACCTGGAACGGATAAAACCCTACTCACTCTGAGCTCATCCGAGATATTCAAACCGCACCAACGCGACGTGTCGTCATTCTCCCTTCTGCCTGCGCTGCCTCGGTCGATAGCATCTCCGAGCCTGAGTTGAGCGACAGCGGAGGATTGTCGATGCTCAGCTCGCTTCAAGGGCCGAGCGGCCCCGTGTTGATGGCAACTTCGCAGCCTGCAGGGACGCTCTGCAGAACGACCAGTCTCCCACAGCGATACGAGGGGGCACATTCGGCATGCTGAAGATGGACCGTCTGACACGTGGGCCTCAGGCGTCAAGGCCGGCTCGTCATCCGAGTCCAACACCTTTCCACAGGGTTGCATCTTTCGAGGGCGATGTTGGCCTTTGCCCAGCTGTTCGCTGAAGTCGTCAGCTCGCCATTCTTTTGAAGCGTTGCAGAGCGTCGCCACCGTCTTTACAACTGCTTGGGGGCTTGTACAATCCAACAAAGCCGGAAGCTTTGGGAATGGCGGGGCCCTGGCGGGTCTAGCAAGGTCGGTCCCAAAATCTCTCAGCCGATTTGTACCATCCGACAATATCGAGCCGATCGAAATGCCGTGACCTGTTTGGCACTGGCGGGGACCCTTTTGTAAAGCCTGGACGCATGAATGAAACTGCCCAGGAATTGTTGGCGTGCATGCAAAGGGCCAAAGACGTGCTGCTAATCGCAGCCTAGACAACTACAGCCTTTGGCACACAAGTTCCGTTTGGCGGACTCCATCGTAGCCTGCGTCGAATTCTGACCATTACAGGCCAGGACACGAACTGTACTGGGGGGCTGTCGGTCGGGGTGTTTTGCTGCGAGTTCTCACTACATGATCGTGAGTTACACCACGTGATACCTCAATCGACTAGAATCGACTAGAACCCTACATACTTCATTTCCCCAGAGGGGAATTCTCGAACTCGCCGCAAATCAGATAAAGAAAGGGGCCGCAAGCGAATCACTCGAGAGCAGCCGATTGCAAGCACATTCAAGCACTTGCCAATGCCTGAGCCAGGTCTTGAAAGAAACGAGACCGGCCTCCTTTACAGCGACGTCCTATAATCGGAGCTCTACCGATCTTATTGCTTGGGTTGTTGAATGAAATTTTCTCAGCGACTTCGGCACGTGGAATATGCCAACTTGAAAAGCTAAGATGACTCGATTCCCTCATCGCACAACAGAGTCCCGACTACGCCTCCGAGCGGGTCATGCCTGCACAGAGCCGGTGAAGCTCCGGTACAGACTTGACCTCAGTATCTAATCTTCGGAAACCCTCCGAGAAGAACTCGACTTCGAACAACACTCGGCGAATTAGAAAGCTGCGCAACATGACTACACATCAAGGAACACAGCGCTACCAAAGACATCGTACGCCCGAACAGCCACACATTCAACTCATTCAACCTTTCACACTGCCGGTCTGCCGCCGGGAGACCACAAGACGGCCATAGCGCGCTGCCCAAAGCGCTGCCAGACGTGGCCGAAGCGCCGCGCATGCTGCGTTAAAGTCCTGCAAGCATCCGCAAGCTTGATGCATCGACAACGTCCGGCTTTACATGCTTTACGCCGGTAAGAACCGCAGAACAAGCATTATGAAAGGACTACCGACTAGCGCATCGGACACCTTGGCTCTGACCGAAGCGGCACCCGTCATGTATGTCATGATGTAATACAGCGTCCCGTGCACCAGAGCACTGGCATCCGCCGTGCAACGTGCTGGGGTTGCGGGCGGTGCGGGCAGCTGGCTCTGGCTCCTCTCCAACAAGCACCTGCAGCACCCTCTGCACGGCTTCATGGCCATACCTGCCGGAGCAGATTTCACATTTTCCGTATCCCCGACAAGCCATCGGCTTCAGACTCCGAGCACCTCGTGATGGCCACATCGGCAAGGCGCCGTCCCACAGCCGCTCGAGCCAGGCTCACCTCCGCCCATCCAACAGCACATCAGATACCCGGCCACAAGCTTGGAACGGAATCGTGTCATCGAAGGTCTAAACCCTAAACGGCCCTAAACCCCAGCACTTCGACAAAAGGGTAAAACGGTAAAACGCAGAAGCAAGCCTGGAGGCCCCATCCCCGGCCTGGTCTTCTGGCGAAGAATGGACGAGTGCCTCGGGAATGTCTCAGTCTTGAAGCCGAAGGCGCTGGGAGGACTCCTGCCTTCGCAATGACGGGAGAGGCCGCCTGGTGGGAAAGAAGCTCCTGGATACTGGCCTCTGCTCGACGGCTCACTCAACATCTTGAGTAAATTCGAAAGTGTGCTGAAGGTGTAAGAGTGCAAAAACTGTTTGTGCAAGTCTCCACAAAGTCTTGCAGTAGGCAGTTGTCCTGTCTGTGTCTCTCACTTCTCAACAGCAAGACTTGGAACAGGTCTCCATGCCGAGCCGCCTTGAATGATTGACAGAGGATGTGCTGCTGCGCCGGGGAGCCTCAATTACATTTGCTTCAAGCCAAGTCTCACACCAAGCCTGTGACCTCGACCCAGACATGAAAATTGTTGACAGCCTTCGGCAGCATGCAGCAAGCAACCCGGCCCACCACCTTTTCAGCAAGCCGTATCTCTTCTCTATCTCTCTCCCTCCGGGTCAGGCTCTTTCGCATGGACGCCAGGGGAGCGACCCCCTGATCTGCGTTCGCTCAGGAATTCGGCTTCAGAGGCAAGATCGCTTCAGTTCACAAGTCCAAGTGGTCATGTTAAGAAACTCAGGCAAGTTACACCGCAAAGGACAATGAGCGGCTCAACTGCACGGATACACGCGCAAATTGCTAATTCCCGGTACATGAACCTCTCTCACTCTGTTTGATTTCGCCAGGGTAGCGACAGAGGTTCGCGCTCTCTCTCTCTCTCTCTCTGAAGTCCTTTCTAGCAGAGAGAAAGAGAAAGAGTGAAAGAGAGAGAGAGAGAGAGAGAGAGAGAGGGAATTTTGTCCCCTGACAAAAACCAGCTCCGCTTCCCCGACTAGCTCCTTCGTGCACATCGAGACAGGTTGCCGTATCGCAGGAGTTGCTGCATGACCTGGGCACACGGCGACAATGCTGCCTGCCTGCACAATGTTGTGTTCTAACTTCCAGGCGAGAAGACCATCCCAATTTGGAACACCTGATTTCTGAGCTCAAGGCAAAGTTTCCGTAGGCCTCATATGCAAAGTCGCTAATTGTTAAATGACCACGTGCGAAAGACACACAGTGAGCGGATTGTGTGAAATCTTTATGCCTTCAAGGGGCATGACGTGCCAAAGGAAGTGCATCGGACATCAAGATGTTTGCCACTCCCTCCTAATCCGGCAACTCAAAACAAAGCCTCTGAGCGACCACTCCTTCGGCACAGAGGAAGTGCATCGTTGTTCGTTCATCCAAGGCTCCACCTGCTCCTGTTGACAGTGTTCAAGCAAACCTGAGTGCATCAACTGCTCTGGTTCCGGCTGAAAATAACTCACGAAAAATGCTTCAAGGGACGCTGAATCACTCGACATCCATACCTGAGTCTTTCAGCACCAACGACTGCACATCCTGCAGGCGAGGTGCCATGACCTCCCTTTGCATGACGCCCTGAAGGCAATTGAGCGGCTGATGGCCTCACCGACAGCTGAGATTCACATCGACATGGGAACAGCATGAACAGCTTGAGATGTGAGTTGTCCGCACTGGCAGCCCAGCCACGGGCAACCTCCAGGACTGTTGCCGCGCCGGCCTTCGACAGAGGGTTGGCACGAGAATGCAGGTCGCACGCCATCCCGTCCATCCCTGCCTGCAAGAGCTCATCAATGAGTGGCTGGCAGTCATGCGGTCTGAGCGTGGCCACCAGACGTTGCAAGACATGGTTGGCATTGGGCGACAGGGCTGCGGCCACGACCTTGCAAGGACAAGCATACACTTTTGCAGGGCGCCATCTTGAAAACATTCAGCCATGTCGGCATGTCCGGAGAGCTCCTGCGCAATCTGCTTCCTCAGCTCGTTACCTGAGATACTGCGTGCACTCTGTCTGCTACTTGCCGTCTCGGTCTGGTGACACAGTATCACGATTCCAGATCCTGTTGTGCAGAACCTATCTGCCTTAGGAGAACCACACAAACAAATTCAACGAATCATGAGCAAGCTCGACCCAAACGCTAAAGTGGTGCCGCGATGCAAGCCTGATCGACGGCCTCCTGAACCTTCCTGCAACCCTTCTGCCTGCAGCGACTTTCAGGGTGCGGTTGTGAGCTGGCGGTGGAGATCGTCAAACTCTGGTTCCGTTTCTGACTAAGCTTGCCTCTGCGACAGCTGCCAGACCTTGCCCAGCACAGGCGATTCCGAGAAGTCGGAAGTGGTGCTTGAAGAATCGTCTGATGCGTGCTCACTGAATGCCTGGAAGTGCATTGTGCATCGCCGAACACCGCTTTACGGTCATGCTATTCGAGCCCATCTCAATATCACAGAATATGCTAAACACAGCAACGAGGCAGTAGCCGGCGCCACATCTTCCGACAACCCACACCCGACCGGTGAGAGCTCACGAGGGGGGATTTGGCTCTCGATCTGCTGAACGGGCAAACCAACCATCACCACCGGAATCGCACACACGGAAGAGAGCATCGCGGGCATCGGCAACGCAGGCTGCAGAACCACTGGCATCATGGACGGAAGTCCGGGAAGCCCTGGAACGAAAGCCGGCATCTGAGTCATCTGCATGCTTGGAGCACGCAGTTGTCGAGACTTCGAGGCTATACGCTCGAGATCGTCCAATGCTGCGGATTGGCATCTAATGGCAGCATCCGTCGCATGCAGACATAGATGTTGAACACTGCTGAAGCTCAGCACGAAAATCTACACCTGAAATAGCATCTGCCTCAACTTCTCTTGATGGTCTTTTCTTGAATGCATCGTGGGCCGCTGGGATCGAGCCCTTGCTCGAGCCTCAAGGCTCCTACGCAGAGCAGACAGAGGGAAAAACCAGAGATTCGGGGTTGAAACTTCACGATCTCCAGCGACTAAAGATGCCTGCAAAAAGTAACAAGCTGGCGGAAGGCGCAATTGAGCCTCGATCACGACATCTTCGAGAGCCTACGCCGTCCTACGCGGCAGCAAGCTATTCCTGGTGAATTCTTAGCGTGGCAGTGCATAGCCTAGAGTCCTAGAGCCCTTCACAAGTGTGACCGAAGAAGGCGCCTGGATCGCCCGAGTTCAGGGAACGAGACGTTATTTTACGAGAGCTCCTTCACTCGAAGGAGGCTGCTCGAGCTTTTGGCGGATGCTTTGAGCAGCTGCTGTTGCCGAAAACTCAAAAACAGATTGCGGTAGCCACGCTCTCGGAGCAATGGCGATTTCGAGACAATCAGGGTCTCGTACTTAAAATGAATTCGTCGGCACAAAGCTCACTTATAGGCTCTTATCTTCCTCGAAGGTGATGGCAAAGGTGGCTGGAGAAGGCCTACTCTGAAGTTCACGACCGGATCTTCCAGCAACTGCGGCTCAACGCGCACTCGCTGCAGCCAAGAATTCAGCCTTACGAGACTGCTCTATGACGACTGCAGTCAGGGCCGTTCATAATTCCTGACTAGTCTTGACATGCCTTGGTGCTCACCCTAGTATCTAGTACGTAAGACACTTCGAGATACCAAGTGTGACCCACTTTCGCCACTAGCAGCGCTTGTACAGGGTTCGCACTTTGGGCTGCGCAGAACTTGGACGAGAACACTTCACTCGGAACCCCTTTGCGGTTCGCACTGGGTCAGGCTGCTGCAGAATAACCATACCAACAGGAGGTACGACGTTGTGAAGTGAACCCCTTTCACTGACAAACGTGGGCAATCCGAACTATGGCGCCTTACAAGTGCCTCACGACTGTTCAAGACTCCTCGGACCCCATCTGCTCAATCCACGGAGCTTTTCCTCGTGCTTGACCATCAACGACTTTCCCGGAGGTAGTGGATGCTGCGGTATGTCCACTATGTCCACCATCGAGCTGAAGCTAAGCCGAGCTTCCTCGGCGTTTCTCACAGAGCTTGTGGAAGCAGGCCTTTTCAGTGGTAGGTTCTTTGGAAATCTGTCGCATACATGGCAGCGCTGGAGCAGTGTGCAGCAGCTGTATGCAGAAGTAACAAAAAGAAACGACACACAATCTGCCAGCATGCTCGGTATGTGAGTGGTTCCAAGGAGCACGATACTGCACGGACGGCATCTCGTGTCCTTTGTCATCCTTCCATGTGCCCAGCCATGTAAGGTACAACTGGACAAGAACTTCCTCTGCTCCGACCGCACATGCATGGGCCCCGTCCCGTACTCGCACTGCCCAACGGTCACCGAGACTGGCTTCACCAGACCCTGATCAGCAAAACCGGTTGCGCACAAATCACTCTTCCTCCGTGATCAGAAATGCTTCAAAGTGAAATCTTCAGGAATCTTAGCTACACGGGGCACCTGGAGCCGCGACACTGCCACCACAACCCATGGCCAGGCCTGAAGGAACCGGCAAGGGCTCTCTGCTTCCTAGTCTGTTATTCACATTCTTCTCTGGGGGGCAAAACAAGGTAAGCTCTGACTACACCCAGGTGATCAAACGTCTTACATACATCGCAAAAGACCTACTATGACACAAAAGACTTAATCATTGCGCAAATCACCACAGATTCTTGAAATCCACTCCAAATTCAAGTCGGCCCCGGCCAAGGCGGTCAGAGGTTCTGACACCCCATGCTTCACCCTTCCTCGTCATAAGAAGGCAAGCGCCCGAAATCAGAAGAAACTCGCAACATCCAACATCCCTCTGTGTGCCCTGGTCCCGTTCCGCCTTCGTCCCTGGAGCGCGCTCTGCGTCAGCCACCAGAGATGTCAAGAGGCAAGACTTTGAGCCAGCAAAAAAGTCCGTGTGACGGGGGGGGGCTTTGCATGGCTGCTTGTCTCCTTATGTCTGATGGTCCTTTGCAGCTTTCTCTCTTCTTGCAGCTCTTCCGATCTCGGTTCCACGTGCCCGGCCTCGGCAGAGGCAGAGCCCTCCACCAGCGGAACCTGACAAAGAACACCAAAAACACACCTGCAGACTGCAGGCATTCAAAGATCGAAAGCACCAAAGTTGCATGTGCACTGTGCGCATAGTACTGGATGCTACCATGCATGATTGAAGCAAATGTTTAGTTTTGCCTCATCCTTCGCAAAGGGGCGGCTAGATGATCCGGGCCATACCGGGCCATTTTCTGCAGGTACAAAAAAGAATGATCAAGTCCCGCTCCCCAGTTTCATCCGCAGCTTCGTTGAGGTAGGATGCAAGTGCCACACTCCCCTGGATTCAGATGGAAATCGCTGTGTGAAGCAATCCGGAGCGAGACCCTTGGGCCATGGACGAGGACTCTACACATTTGCGCACACACACACACACCCACATGATGGCTCGAAGGTGCAGAAACTGATGCCACCTAGATATGAAGAGCCATCAAGTCCAGGTGATATGTTCTTGGAAGGAAGCGTTTTGGACCCGAAACGGGATCTCCACAGCGTAAACACTTCTCCCAACCAAGCCGGGATCCAGACCGCAAGCAGCGAAGATGAAAGAGGCTCTGCGGCCGGAGACTCCTGCGCGCAGGGGCCGGGGCTGGCTCCGTCAAATGGAGCAGAGATTTTGGTGGGAAAGGAAAAGATGAACAAACCTCGAAGTTAGCCACTGCAAAGCCCCCGGGTCTCCGCCTAAACCCATCCTGGCAAGGCTTGCTGGCTTGGAGTGCTGTGGGATCGATGCTCCGATGATGGCCGGCGGCTGCTCAAGCGTCTTGCGAGTTTCTTGAACTGAATTCTAGCGCACCCCACGAGGCCTCGTCGTCAGAGAGGATCTCCATCACACTGCTGTCTTAATCCGTCAGACAGGCAGTGAAACTCCCAGCCCAAAACCCCCGACTGGACCTGGAGCCAAAGCTGCAACACGCTGCACTGCACACTTCCGAAGAAAGATCCCCTGAAAGGTGCGGCCTCTGCGGCCTCTGAGGTCAGCTACACAGAGTAAGACCCCTGATGCTCCCTGAGGCCAGAAACCGTTGTAGGCCCCTCTCCGGCCACTCCAGGAACCTCGGTGTGGACCGAGACCCACGAACGCAAGGCCTGGACCGAAAGGGGTGCCGCACGCACTCTGGACGCAGTACCTCAGTTCACAGCAGGCTGGCAGGAAAAGACATTGATGGATACATTGCTCTTGCATCATCAACCAGCTGGACAATTGTGCCAGTCCTGGCCTCCCTCTCAGTCCCACTTGCTGCCAGGCATCATGATCAGGATGTACAACGAAGCAAGGCCTCGGAGCATATCGACTGCCTTGCATGCACGGGCATCTCTGCCCTTGCGCTGCTGCTCTGCAGCTGCGACAATTGATGCACAATGCCTCTGTTGCCTGTGCTCTCCCTCCAACTTCTCACGGAGCTGGATGCTGGTACATTTTAACCTATCCTTGCAAAATGGAGTAGCGGTCGAAGCGAAATCCAAATCTCAGGCCAACACAGGCTCCGGGGTCCCATCCTCGCAGGAGCTCCATCCTCATTGACAGGACAGGTTCAAGAACCAGCTATTCTAGCACTTTTGCAGAAACAGTCGCGCTCTCTGCACCAGAGTGGCTACAAAGCTGGACGCGACGCAAGACCCAAAGGCACACGATCCAGCCCGAGGGCCGAGGGGACGAGAAGCTGGCTTTGTTGACGGTCGCTGCGCCAAGGCCGCTGTCAGCGAAGTTGCCGCTACTGCCACAACAGAATCCTCACTGGCACCACGAGACCACTCGACAAAACGTCAACTCCAACTTAACTCATAACCTGAGAAATTATCCGTTCGGCTACACTCGAACCTACAATGTAAAGCATTCCATAGACAAGACCTAGCATTCTTCACCTGGGCCCTGGCAATGAGCGAAGCTCGACCCATGCTGGAAGGTAAGCGCAGGGGCAACGGCCATGTCTCCTGAAGCACAGAATGAACGGATCTTCTGCTTACCACACAAGCACAGGTACCGTGGACTGAGAGATGCAACTTTACGGATGTCTGTGCTACTACAGTCCGCTGAGTCTGTCCATCCTGAAGGCGGCCCCGCATGTCTGCACTTGGCATGCGACAACCCTGAGGCCTGCGGACCGGAAGCCATGGCTTTGCTTCTAAAGGCATCTGCGGTTCAGCTGTGACTCCGAAATACCTCAATCAACCTCCTGGCAGGTTCACATCAGGCCTTCGATGATAACGGCTGGGCTTCCGGATTTGTATCTTTTCCCATCAACCCAAGCTGCAAGCTCAGGAGCAGCACAACAAACAGAAATGACCCTTCTTAGCGAAAACTTGCTTGCCTCGGCGTACAAAACCACGGCATCTACTGGACAGTCCACCCCATCCTCGGTGCAGTGCTTTCGATTTTGCCTTTTGGTCAAATCATCGCCGAAATGTCCCCAGATCCGAATGCCCAAGCCGCTAGGATGACTATGCAATGCATGAGTCCTTGGATTCTTGCTGCTGCTGCCCGGTCTTGAAACCAGCTTGCTGACAGAGTGGGTCCGTGGCGGTTTAGTGCTCCTTTAACCCTAACAGGCCCTACCAGCTGAATCCGAAAAGCGAAGGCATGCAGAAGAGCCTCAAGCAATGCAACAGACAAGAAGACAGTCGTGGTCAGCTTTGGATTCCTGAAGCTTTCAGCCTTTCATGCCGAGCCAAGGGGATGCAAAAAAAGCCATGCTGGCATCAGCTGCAGTCTCATCGTACATAAAGCACTCTTTTGGGGTACCAGATTGGGCCCTGTCTCCACATGCCCGTGATCAAAGTTTGGACCACAGGATCCATCCAAGCAGAGACCGGCCACAGGATTCTTGGCTCGAGGTCATGCTTCGATGTGGGACTTGGAAACACTTCAACCGGCGTGCGTAGCTTCAATGTAGCCTTCTTTCATTAGCCCGCTCGGCATTGTCGCATGATGTTTGCAGGCTTGTATCGAAAATGGCATACCGGCAGTCATGCATTCAGCAGGCCATAGTGCGCAAGATGCAGAGATCAGCAAAAGAGGGAGTAGTCAGGGCAGGTTGCAATGTATAATGTCATGCTACATGAGACCAATGTCACTCTACATGAGACCAAGGAAGAGATTCAACAAATGGGGGGGCCCGCAAGGTTGCAATGCTGCAAGGCTCAAGTTGCTCAAGCCTCCAGCTGTCCTTCACATCGGCTTGTTACTTGGGGCCATCTTTTCCTGCGAGCTAACGAGATTCTGAGAGGGCGGTTGACCGCGCGAGCTCTGCATCATTGTCGCAGCCGGTAAGGTAAGGCCAGGGACATTCAAGATGCTGAGGGAGCAATCTTCCCCCAGATCAACACTAGAAGCTACCGTGGGAACGGGATCTTGACTTTCCACGATACGTCTGTTCGATAGAGCAGGTTGTCAAGATCCCGCTTGGCATCCCAACTATGTAAACTATTTACAAAGCTCCTTTTGTCGCGAATCCGGCGAAAATGTCGTCTGCCGATTCAGCTCTTCACATGTGACATTCACCGGATGCTGGAAAGCACCACGGACTCCCTCGCGAGCATGTGCCAATATGTACGTGTATGTGCCTGTGCAAGCCAGTGAAGACCGGCACCTCCATAGCATCTCGGAGGGGTCCCAGGTGCTGGTGAATCCTCGGGGAAGGAGGAGTCATCGCGAATCCATGACTGCGAGCAGGGCCACAGCTTGACGCTAGCTGCGGAGGGTCTCAAGACGGTCATGAAGCTGCAAGCCCACGAACACCTCTTGAGGCATCCTATCTGGCTGAAGGCTGTGCTTCAGCAACAGCCAGCTATGAGAGTGGATTGGGGCACCGGCACAAGGATGTGCTGGCCAAGCTGAAAGACTCACAGGCGGCATGCTTGCTCAAGCTCAACAGAAGCAAGGTGGTGTGCGTGAATGCCGTGATAATGAAACAAGTCCCTAGAATCTGCCCGAGAACTACAGAACCAGACTGCAGTCGCATCACCACTTCACATCGCCTATGAAATCAGACACCTTCGGCGTCTCCACAGTGGCAGGGAGGCCCGGTAGGCCTAGCGATAAGCCTCATGTATATCATTACTAAGGCGAAGAGAATCCAACGGCTCGGGGCCTTCCCTGGTGGGGCAAGCTCCCTGCTGATCAACACTCCGTTCGGAGGGAGGAAAACTCCGGAAACGTGGGATTGTCTCAATTCTAGCAACCTTGCAAGTCCTCAATCAAGTGCCACATGCCAATACCCCACGATTCCTGGAAAACCTGGCCAAACCAGGAGCTAGACGTGCCAAGTGAGGGACTGAAGCATCACTTCATGAGGCATGAAGAACTTTCTGCCAGAAAGCCAGCATGCGAGTTTCGACTTTACTTTACGGGCACGAAACAGGATTGAGACCATGCATGGGTCCTTTGCAAAGCGTGCGGCATGTTTCTGCCCGCCTGACAGCTACTATTGGAGGGTAGACCAGCTGGATTCAGAACACCAGTTTAAAATCAGCCGCAGCATGAAAATCCGTGGGCGACACTTCGCAGCTTGACAAAGGTGCATATCTTTGTGGACTTACATCACAACTTCGACGCCCACGCTGGCTGCTGGAAGGTTGGGGATAAGGCTTCCTACACTGCGGTCAGTCTGGCTTGAGCACCTGACCATGATCGGCCGCAGCGTGCCGCAAAACTTGCCTTGTCCGGCCCAGCCTGCGAGCCGCGTTCGCAAAGGCGAGGGCAGCGCGAGCTCCGCCACCGCAGAGGTCCTAAGTATCTCTGTGAACAATCCCCGTGCTGGACGGCTCAGCCATCCACGTTGGGAAGCGATGGCCACTGGGTACTGGGTCGCAAGCCGCTTCAATGACCGTGCCGCCTCGCAGACATGTACAGCAGCACAGCAAGAGCAGTTCACAGGATGTTGGAAGGCTCCTATTGAAGGATCACCGGTGCATGGAAAGGCACTGAAGCACAAACCTGATGCATTCGAGTGGTGCCGACGCCTCCTCGAGAATTATCTCCGGCGCAGAGGCCTCGTTCAGTCCTGAAAAGATTGATGCCTAATCTTTAGCCTGAACACAGGCACCCACCAGAAACCGTGCTTGTTGAAGTCCGCTGTATGAAACAAGTGGCCTTTCCCTGCAGGACTGCCGACGTTCCCTCAAACTTAAGAGGCTCTTGGACCGACCCACCAAAGCAAGTTCGTGCCTTTCGAGCAGGCATCTGGCGGAAGTTTGCGCTCGATCTCGGCAGACATTGTGCTCAACCCAAGTTTTCGAATTTCTGGCGAATGACTCTTGTGCAATCGCTCAGGCCGCACATACAGATCACCACTCATGACTTGGCTTCGATGAGATGGCAGTCGGTACTCGATGCTGTAGATTTCTGTGTCCTTCCACCAACGAAGATAGATTTCTGTGCTGCCCCTGCATTTGCGCTACATACATATTGCTCCGACTACGCCATTGCGAACATGCGTCGGAGAATAATCCAGTACATCATCCAAGGTCCGTAGGGTGAGGCGGTTTAGAGCTAGAACTAGATGTTGTATCGGAACATATTCCAGCGATCGCTGGGAGAGGCTTGTCTTCAATACTTCTGACATTACAGGGCAACATCGTATATTTCATGTTGGTTTGGGTCCTGCTCCTAGTTAGTAGCCACGTGCCGGGACCAGGACTGAGAGGCTCTGCCACTCCCCGAAGTCCTGAAACCTGATACACAGGCAGCAAGTGAAGCATGTGACAGGCGGGCTCACATTACAACACCAGCCGTTCACTAGCGGCGATGGAAACGCATAAGCGTGCTGGATAGAGCGGTCGGAACCGCCCCACGGACATGTTCCTTTCCAACAAGCCAACTCATTCCAACCCTCGGCACTTCATGCAAAAAACTGTCTTTTCAATTCATATCACTATCGGTGGGAGTGCACGTTCACAAGTGCATCGCCTTTAACCACCTCTTGACCTCGCAATGCAAGTCTGTCAAAAGGCGTGCTACTCGCCAATACTGCCTGACCTGACATGTCCATCACCATGCTTAGCACACCTAAAACCAGCACTACCTTACCCGCCCGTCCGCTTCTCTGGACCCGAACCACCGGCGCCGGAGGAGATGCTGGGAAGCACAGACTAAAGAGGAGGAGATATGGTTGACGGTAGCAGCCGGCGCCGGGGGAAGGCCCAGTGTCGAATAGCCGCCAGCGGTGAAAGTGCCAGAAAATGGCAGTTGAAGGGTCCATCATCAATAGACTGCCGGCTGCCAGGGCGAAATCGAGGGCCGAGGTAGCAGAGAGGAGTCGCGCACGGGCAGGAGGCCAAAACCATTTTAACGATCATCAATGGATCGCAGGGTCAGGTGTTGACGGCACTTGGCTGCCGGCCCGCTTAACTCAGCCCCAACCTCCAAAGAGAGGGGAGCGGGGGGAGAGGTAATCAAGTGAAACGGGGAGGCACTCCCATTTCATCACAACCCGAAAGCGCCAGTCGGGATGGACACTGACCCTCTGCAGCTTGTAGTGGGGCTTTTGTCTTCCGTGGGTAGTTCATGCTTAATGGCTTAACGTACATCGAGATCTGACAAAGCATCGAGCTCTTGAGAAGCGCTGCGATCATTTTGCAGCACGCGAAGTCCCGGTACTGGCAAGTTGAAGGTGCTTCGGTTTACAAGACTTTGAAAAGCCGTGGGTTCAATGTTCAAGTAACAGCCGTAAAAACTGCAACTTGTGGAGCTGATGCCGGCAATCAGCGCCCGGTCTTCACACTCTGTCTACGTGGCCTACTCGAGATCCGATGCCAGCCTGTCTAAAGGTATGATTGTTTAGGTTATGTGGTGAAGCACAGACGCAACCTGCCTGGCCGCTGCGCGAGAGCCCTCCACATCCAACACGCGTCCCGAATTCCTGGTCAAAGTTTTATTTTTGCACTTGCAGACATGCCCGACGTAGTCGCGCCACATCAAGCTTCATAGTGCTGGAGATGACCTGGTCTCCTAGTCCTAGCTTGCAGTGCCTAGGCTGTGCAACTGCAACGGCACTTTGCCTGCACTGGAGGTGGACTTCGTCCTTGTGCACAAGAGGCAAGCAAGATATGAGGAGACCTGGTTCGAGAACCAGCAGACGGAGAGGACATCAGTTCCTGATGCAAAGCTCGTCAAACTTCATGCTCCTTGTGCCGCAACTGCCGCCGGCACCCAGGGTTTTCCTTCAGCAAAACCTTGGCGTCCAGAACTTTGCAGCCATGGCTTCGACTGCTATAGGGCTGCTAGGGAGCCACTGGTCTAACCCCAAGGGCAGTCAGAATCGAATAAGTCGAAGACTTGACGCGGTTCGGACTCACACCCGTCTCATGACTGGTGTCTTTCAAAGCTTATCAAACCACGATCCAACGCATAAGCATGCCACAGTTAGCTCGCAGTTGATGCTGCTTCCAGGGCGGCAAAGCACCTGGTTGAATGCCAAACTGCATAGCCTCCTAGAACAACCCAGGCCGAAGGCACATCTAGCAAGCTGACACGACAGGAAAACCACTACCGCTACCAATCCCCCTACTTTCAGTGAATCCGGCTACTGCTGCGACTTGCCCTGCACGCTTGATTATCTTGTGCCTGTTGTTCCTCCCATGCTTTGTGCTTCCCACACTCCTCATGCTCTTCCCAATCTTGTGTCTCGTGCTTTGACTAGTCTTGACAGCTACGAGGACCACGAAGGGACCTTGAAGTAAGGGTGTTGGCACTGCAAACACCATGTGCACTGCCGCCGCCGCTGCTGCTGGTGGCCGCTGCTTATCACACCACCGCTAGCTTCGACTGCCATGACGACGACCACCACCACCAACACGACGACGGCGACGACGACAGTGGACGAAAAAGACTTGGGAGTGACAATGGACGACGATGCCAATGCACTCCCAAGCGAAAGCTCATAGTTCACTGAATGCTGTGCAGCACAAGATGGGGAGCGGCCTTGCCGCCCATCGAAATACCCAGGGAAACGCCTTGGAGGGCTGAAGGCATGTGTGTCTTCACATGTCTTCAGCTGAGCTGCTACTGGCATTGCACGAAGCCTGTGGCCGATTCCCCGCTCTTCTGGCACAGTGTTGTCTGTGTTGCTTGGGTCAAAGCTTTGCTCCGAGAAACGTAAAGAGAGCACAAGCTGCGACAAGCTCGGAAGCATTCCAGCTGCTTGAGTCTCTCCATCTTGATCATACCATTAGCTTCCCTGCCCCGGTGTCGAGTCTCACTACGTCGCTGAGAGATGCGCCACTGTGCGCAAGGAGGCGAATCACGTCTCCATCACGCACTGCACCGCTGAAACCCGCCTTCAGACAGCGGCAGAGCTTCCGGGTGGGACTGAAAGACTAGCTGCAACAAGCACCTGTACTGACTTGGCACAAGCTGCTGTTCAAAATAGGCTGGAAAGGATTTTCTAGCATTGATCCAGGGCACAGAGCTTGATGCCGGGCAAACAATAAACGTCTGCCAGTCGCCACCTTAGCCAGCCATATCGTGTCCGTCGACTCTCACCGAAGGCTGGTGGTGCGTGCCGCATGTCAATAAGAGCAAGCTTTATCGGCACAGCTTGAGACACAGGCCCTCGAACCATCTTGCCGAGACCTCCAGCACTAGATGACAAAACTTAGCTTGGAAACTTTGCCGTGTCTGCCTCTCGGAAAAAAACTCCTACAGTAGCGCTTCTGAGTACAAGCACCCTACCTTTTATTTGTTCTCGCCACTGCATGCCGCCTGCTGATACCTTACGAACATCGTCACTGAAGGAGCCTACTGTACGGTTGGACAGGCGATGCTTTAAGCACGTGGATGTGGCATCTCGGGCAGCGAGGGGGAACCAGGTCGTGGCACGATAGGGTAAGGACAGTCTGCGAAACGCACTCGGCCGTTCCCCCGACATCCTTTCCCCGCCAATCCGTTCCCTTTCCCTTCTCTTTCCCTGCCTTGCTCCTCTCGACGTCTATACACCGGCCACTTGAGCAGCGCAGGCAAACGGCATCGCCATAACGAACCTCTGTGTGTACCGTTTCAATAGACGAGATCCCTTCTGATGCAGACAATGCACTGCAAAAGACGACAATAATGCAAAGCCATTGAGGTCACCAACATGACGAGCAGCAAAAGGATCTTCGCTTGCAGCTGGCTCCAGCAACCTTTCCAAGGGATCCTTGAACTGCACAGCTGCTGGCCCATGGCATCTCTGCGTTTTCCAATCCGCGTGCAGTCCTCGCCCTGGCCGTTCCATGCAGGCAAGGTGGGCGCCGTGCCTGCAGGAAAGGGCACTGGTGAGCCGGACTCGGGGGACCACAGGCTAGCTCCTGTTCACGAGGCCTTCCAGAAGGCCTTCTTGAAAGCAAGTGCGAAAATCCTCACCGTGATGCAAGCAGTGACACGTGGCCACACTCCAGGAAAGCTACACTCATGATGAGCACATCCTCGAATTTGTTGACGGGGGCATGATGCCTTCGGATCTCCACACTGAGCAGGCGGTTGTACAAAAGTGGCAACCACCAATCACGCATTCCTCCAAGAGACTGAACGACACCCCGATGTGGAAACACTTGGAGGCGCCTTACAGAAGTGTAGAAGAGATTGGATGTGAGGACAAGCCTGCCCACCCTGGAGATGCCGGTGGCTCCGAGAGGTCCGACATGTAGATTTGACTACGAGGCAGTCTTCATCTGCCGCAAGAGCGCTGTTTCCATTGGAAACCTGGGTCCCGCCCTTGCGCCGCACGACCCGCCCAGTGGAAGACTCGGCATGGCCTGACCGAAAACTCGGAGGCCTTTGCCGCCTTTGCCTGTCTCCCCGCATGGTGACGACCCGCTGCAAGACCCGCTTCGCACCATCCCAACCCGTGCGGTGGAAACCCTTGAGGGAATCCAACCCCAGAGGGGAAAGTGTTGTCGTTCCTTCCTTAATGTGCACCTCGCATTGAAATCTTCCTGAGACCGAGGATGACCGAGATTTCAGAAATACCGAGATTGCTTTCACGACGAGCCCGGCACTGTGACACCAATTTGCGACAGAACGTGTTCTCAGTGCACAGTACGTTTAATGTCGAACTCAGCGCATGCCCTAGGTTGCATGTTCCTTGTCATTTTACGGTTTATGACTTGAAGGGCTGATGACACGAAGACTCCGTAAGCCTCTCAAATCAAGTTCCTGGCCTTCTGCAACTGTAGAAAGTCGCTTGTCTCTGATGATCACGTTCAATCCCCGTTGTTGGGTGTGAGAACTTCATATAGTCGCGATAGGCATTCAGCCTCCCTCCATCCGACTGTGCACTACGTTGTAGCTATCAGTTATGAGCAAATCTTCACCGGTCCCAAGCAGGGCCGGCTCCATCACGCCAGTTCCAAAAGAACCAGCCACGAGAAGCCTGGCCGCTGCGAATCACACAGACCATGGAAGACGGAGATACTCTCCTTTGTTACAACTGACTTCTTGACCCAATCACGCCAAAGTGTCGGGCAACACCAATATGCAAATTATGGAGCACACTATTCACTAACGATCACGAAGACCTTACTGAAAACTCTGCATCCATGAGCTCCCATCCATCAAGCCTTCGAGTAAGCTTGAAGCTGCGCCCTGCCAAAAAGGTTCATGGCCTGACACATGTCAGAGTTGTTTGCAGATTGCACACCTGCGGCGCAGCTGGTGCTACTTCCAAAGCAGCGACGAAGCAAGCCGGAACGTCCACGAAAACTACTTCGCTCCGTTCGCATCCAGTCCAGCCGCCTCTTTCGGACACATCGCTGAGGCAGCACGACCGCCAAGCGCAAGGCTCCACCTGGTGCGCGTTTCTGTGGATGCCATGCACTTGACTGGGCAGCTCTTCTTCCGAGCGGCTCTCCAACCACGGCAGGAAACCTCCGACGGCGCAGCGCAGTGTGCAGGACCAATGAAGGCTAGTTATACACGACCTACCTTCTACGACTTCTTCTCCAAGGCTTTCAAGTGCCTTCCCTCTGCTCTGTTGAGCGGCAGCTGCCGCAAATGGATTTGAAGACATTGTAGCTTGAGGGTCGCGTGTACCCGAAGCCATGCAGGAGGATATTGGCATCTTTCCTGCATTGCTTCAACATAAGTCTCAGGCTCATTGCTCTGCCCCGAGCTGCTTCCGCACGTCATGGGTGTGTTCCGAAACCATTGTGCACGGGAAAGCATAGACATCGGACGGGTCGTTTATACAGGAACACGAGATCATCCAAAACAACTGGCTCAAGCACTTTTGTATGCATCCATCTATACTGTACTTATTTTGCCGACCGCACTGGAGGCACTGAGGGAGTAGCTCTTGGAGTTCACGGCCGTGGTCTTCAACGGCTCGGAGGTGCTGCCAGGTGCCACTGGATCCGCAAATCCATGAGCGGGCAAAAAGATCTGCTTCTCTTCTCAAGGCCTCTGCAAGCGTCATGCGATTCCACGTGTCTTCGAAGCAGTGGTAGTAGTGAACCTGATCGTCAACTTAGTCAGGCTACCTCCAAAAAAAAGGGGTCACACGCTCACCATGGACAGTAACTTCACCAAGCAAGCAGCATCGAAGCAGGTGTTGCTGTGTCGTCCTCTTGAAACCTGACGCCACCTTTGCTCGGAGCACATCACCGAGAAAGCCGCATCATGTGCTGGAGGTTGGCTGATCTACCACACCAGAACCCACCCATGACACACTCATGATCTGACTGGCTTCGTGCGACATGCCCAGAAGGCCGACACATCCTGCACTGACCCTGGCATCTAGGCGCAAATAAGGGCTTGGCACCGCTTCAAACCTCGAGATAACGAAGGGAAAGCATGACGATGGCGAAAGGCAGACGGCACGCACAATAATCAAACGGCTATCCGACTCAGAGTTTAGTTACAAGGTTTCGGGCTTTGGTTCAGCTAGGTGGGATCTTAATCTCACTGAGATCTAAGTCATTAGCCTCGCCTAGTTGCATGCTAACAGCTAGTAACACATAATTACAAGCCAAAACTGACCTGAACAACCGCAGATTACACTGTACATAACGTGGCGTACGCAGGCAGCATGCCTGTGCAGAACAAATTCGCAATGCAATCAAACGTGTTTTCAACTTTGGCAAGCTGCGTTCGGAGACACCGCTGGAACACCGGAAGCACCACCGTGACCTGTCACAATTTCGCAGCTTCAAAACTTGCCATCTGCCTGATGTATTTCAATCCGTCTTGCAGCTCAAATCCGCTCTCCGTCGCCCTATCCACAACCTCGCAGCAGTGAAGAGGAAGGAAATGCATGAGTATGAGTGTGGATCAATGGTGAGGGAGTACAACGTTCAGTGACCTGCAATCTGAGAGAATGCCAGGTGTCTACGAGCGGTCCAAGACTGTTGCCTCGTTTGTAGCGTCGGACTTAGGTTGGAAGTCTCGTTGCAGGCTTCGTGACCTGCTAATTCGGGTGCACTGCAGCTACCAGCTTGACTGAACCTTCCTTGCGCCGGTCTCTGCTGAATGCTGGGCTGGTAATTGCAGATCCCGGATGTGTCAGAGACGCCACAGTTCTCTTGACTCTGCGAATCTGTCCATGGGTGGTAATTCACTATGACCCGTCGAGTCCGGGGACTAAGGGTTTCCAGGGATGCTCAACCCAAATGGAGGTGTAGTTTGGCCAAAAGGGTTACAACCCAAATCCCTTTTGGGCGCGGCGAACGGCAATCTCGCAGACTCGGAGCTTCGATCAGGAAGGACTTACAGACCCTTTGATTATATCTGATCGCACAGTGAGTCCCGATCACGGCCGAATCCACATCTAGCATGCCTTTCACCGATTGCATCAATGCAGATGGCGAAAGGGACGGCGGCAAGCAATCTAGATGCAAATTCACCCAGAGGTACGAAAGCGCAGTCCCATCCTCTGCCCTCCGCACTGGACGTTCGAGAGACCTGAGGATTTGTTAACTCAGCTTACCCCAGGTCCTAGATCGAGTGAAGCTAACCCCAAAGCCAGTAGATCTCGCGGCCGTCTGGCATTCTGTGTCTCAGACACAGCTGCATCATCGTGTCACTGGCAAAAACCGAGCGCCTCTGCCCTTTCTGTTTTCTGTAGATACTACTACTACGGTTCAAGTTTCAGGACCTGCCACGGGCTGTGTAGGATTTACAAATGGCTGTGGCGACCGGAAAAGCTTCGATCATCGAACAAAAACTGGCTTCCCTCAGAACGCCTGCCAAGCAATTGCATGAGAAATCACAATCTGGCTGACATTGCTCGTAGCTCTCACATGACTCACATGCTCTCATCGTACCGGTCATCGTTAAAAATTAGTTCCTGAGCCTGAAAATCAAGCCTAAAGCAAGTCAGACTATATCTGCCCAGTCCAGACCGATCGACACACTCCGCTGGGTGTAAGTCTAGGCAGTTGCAGGTGTCAGATTCTCGGCGTATGAGCTGAAACTGACGGGAGAGGTTGTAACTTTCAGGAACCGTGCCTGTGCAGCCCTGAGACGTCCTTATGGTTTGTAGACCTGCGCACATGGGCACTCTGCTTGTTGCGTAAAAACGACGACACGCCTGCAAGCTACTCAGAACGGACCTCGTGAAGATCGTCTTCAGCTACCAATGACATCCTTCCTGCAAGCATATGCAAGCTGTGTCTGAGCCGGTCAACTACTGAACTACTGTAGAAACATGTCCCTGCAGGCTTCAACATCCCGGCTCCTCTTGCATGAGGAAGTTCTACCCAAAACTCGTTCGCCTGCACACAGTGCAATTGACAACTGACCTTCCCCTGCGCAGCGCAATTGACAAGCTGGCATTTGATCTAACAGCAAGAGACGCATGGGGAGCCCGGCCAAATCACCATCCGCATCTCGAAACAATGGAGGGTCATATCGCTTGCTGGCCATTAGCCGCTTTGCCTTGGATAAGTAGTAGAACTCAAGACGGGCTCGAAGACGCTGAGGCCGCTGAGGTGCCTTTTTATTGGAAACTGCCAGGTTGCCGCGGCTTCTGCTGCTGCGCGTTTCTTTGCCGTCTCTGCCGCCCATTCTGCCTCCATGCGGGCCATCTCCTGGGAGGGTGGTGTCCGCAAGAACCATGCTGAAGCTCAAAGAACTTCTTCTGCACAGCGAGTCAAGTTCTGTAACCGAGCCCTCTCCCCCATGACGCGTTGCCTCCTGTTCTTCGGGACTCCTCTCGTTCGGAGCTTTCCTTGGTTCAGCTAGTGCCCGGCGTGACATTGAAAGCGCACTTTGTCATGATCTCGCTTGACTTCACAGCTTAATTTAGATTCGATCGCAAGCCCAAATGTCGGATCCCTTTTTGTGACACAGGACAAACAGGAAAAGCCATCCACGACAACGGTCAGAACCTTGACAAGCTGCCCTTTTCTGGGTCGCTTCCTTCTTGTCTCTTCCACTTCAACTTCTGGGTCCTTGCCCTGCAGGGTTCAATCTGATTCACTTGCAGGGGCTGTTCCGCCGGCCAGAAACCGACATCACTGTGACAACCTTGGACATCGGTTTAGTCCCACTTGGCCTTTCCCTCAGGAGGCGGTGTCCGGCTGCGCTCACGTGTACCAGCACCAGCATCCTTTCGGGATCCACTGCACAATTCAAACTCATTACCCAGCATAGCCATGCCTCCTGGACGGGTCTGTGCACAGCCAAGCTGTTGCCAGTTTGCTCAAAGTTGCTAAAGCTTCGGCACCCGGAAGCGCGACAATCAAGCACCCGGAAAGACTTGCAGCTGCAACTCTTGGGTTGGTCACCTCCATGTCTGCATCTTCGGCTGTCATGGCCCCCACCTGAGCGAGAACTGAGAAATTGCACATTGACATAGCCGCTACACTGATGATCCATAATCCATAATGCCACCAATGCAGTCCGATTTGCTTTCGGACCACCCTGGTGACTTCCACGTTCTTGAGCCCGAGCAGCAGATTAAGGGAGCCCTAAGCTACTGCAGCTGCCCCAAACAAGACATGACTTATCTGACTCTACGCGCAGGATGAATACAACAGAAGTGACATGTCGAGCGCTTTGTAGCTACAGATCCGGTAGCACCATCTGCTTCGCCTTCAAAACATGGCTGGTGGGCCCTGTCTGTCATGCCAGCCTTGCGAATGACGTCAACTGCCTCAAGCATGTGATGCGATGCACTTGCACCGTGAGATCGTCTCCCGGAACCCACAGCACACCCGTCCCGTAAGTCAACATCCACGACCGGCCCGCAGGCACACTCTCGGAATGCAAGCGGCCGAGCAGTGGCATCTCGTTTCGCTTGGGAACTTGCCATTGCGATGCTTGACGTTGGAACGAATGACTCAGGAGGAGAAGTGACGCACAGCGTCCACTCTCCAGATTCTTGTTTTCAAGGGCTTGGACCGCGACCATGTTTGAACTCTTGTCTTCCCGGCTCGGAGCACACATCATGGGAGCATGCACTCCATGCACGGCTGGTGCTTGCCTCGTATATTTGTCCATGCATGTTCGAGGTCATAGAGCTTGCTGAAAGTCAAGGTCGGAGCGAAACGGATTAGCTTCAGGCTGTTTCAGACTGTGCACCCAAACATACAAAGCCCTCACTTCATGTTCCATCGTGACGTCGGACTGCTCCAGCAGGCCTCGTCGTAGAATCTGGCGAGGATGTCTGCGGGAATCAGACGCGATGGCTCATTGCACACGGCAATGCCTGTCACCTGGAATGCCGAATGATGCAGACTCAACACAGACAAAGCCAGAATGAACATGATGCCGGAACGCAATTGCCATGCTAACGACCTTCCAAGCACTTGAAGGCATTGGGACGTACCCGACATGTGCTGGGCTTCCAGCACTTTTCCTGCCGCTGTATCGCTGGGCAACAACCTTGCCGTCAAATGAAAATTAGTACTCACAACAACCTAGGTTAGATCACTTGGTTATGACCCAAGTAGTTAAGAGCCTGCCTCTGGAACTAGTGTGAAAAAACACTGTTGCCTTTTCATGCGAGCAGACATGTTAGGAGAGAGCCCTATGGCAGTGCCAGTCTGACCTCAAGAGCTTTCAGCGTCTCCAACCTTCGCCACTGTTGCCATGCCTGGGACGGCAAAACTCTCTGCGAGAATCATGTACAGCGGCACTTTCATCGACATACAGTTGCGCAGTGGTTTGAGCACGAGAACAAGCGTTCGGCCTTGCTGAGGAGCCATGCTAGCAAACAGAAAGGCTCGAACCCACTTCGACTCTGGCCGCTGCCGCCGGCCACATGGAGCGTCCGGACCTGGAGAAATGCCCAGCGAACGACGAAGTGATGTTCATCAAGCGTGCGTAGTGCATGGGTGTGTGTAGTTCATGGGTCCCAGCTTTCTCCACCGGGGCAGCCGTGCAGATCAAGCAGCACCTGCGCAGTTCCATGCCAGATAGATGGAGGTTTGGCTCTCGAATGTCTCCTGCCCGCATCTGCGCTGCGGCTACGAACTTTGGGGTTGGATCCCGACAACCTCAAGGTTGTACTCCTCCGCCCACTCGACAGCACGGTCCAGGATATCGAGAGCTGGCCCCTCAGCGAAGTGCCGCATGCGATGAATTCACCTCTAGTTTTCTGTGAGCTCAGTTGGCGAATCAGGTGACAAGCTGCCACATATGGTTCTCCAGCTCCGGGGCCGAGAACAACCCAGTAGCCAAAGGGCACCTGTCCCAGCGCTCATTTCAGTACATTGCCTTTCATAGAATCATAGACTGCCCTGCGCCCTCACGGAGTTGAGCCCCATGTCACGGATTGCTCGGAAGTCCTGCACAGAGCTGGAGGAGACGATGCTGCAACGCTGAGGGGGCCTTAATGTAGCTTCTGTGAAACGACCAATCAGCTCCTCAATCTGCTTACGGCAGTCCTCTTTGCGGATGAATGTTTCTCTGTGACGATGAAGGACGTGCAAGGCCTGTTTCCATACAGACTAAGCAAGATGCTGAAGATGCTGTGAAGGCGAAGGCCTGACGACTCCTCAACGATTCCATCAGCGACCATTCGCAGCGGAGCTGCGGCTCGCCTGCGCAACTGCTTCTACCTCAAAGCGAAGCGCGATGTGACATGCCGGCCTGGAAAAAGAGGAGCCGACGGACCGGGCTCAAGCAAAAGCCAACCACCTAGATTCACCCCGCACCTTGGTTTGGACAATATGCCGGAGATCTTTGGCTGTGGACTGAGAAGATCTTGCCAGCTCGAAGCGGGATCAAGCTCAACAGCGGCTAGATGATCAGCTGCGGATGCTCGAAAAGAACTGGCACGTGCTCTCGCCTCTCAGGTCCGGGCCATGGCCTTCGGTGCGCAGGCACGATTGTGCCTCGCGCAGGGGAAGAGCAAGCTTGGCATGGCTTCGTCTTAGAGGTCTCGCCCGACTGCACAGCACGAACTACTCTTTCCGAAAGGCACTAGTCAGGCATGCTGCGTCCTGTTGTGCACATTTCTTCGACGGCATCTGTATGCTTACAGTCGATAGGAAATCCCTGGCCAGCCCTCATCGTGAGATGCAGATCGTCAGGATGTGTGACGACAGCAAGCAGCAGCCAAACTGCTGCATTCCAGAGATAAGTACAGATGCTGTGCAGCCAGATCGCGCAGCATGCGATGATACGGTCGAGTCAAGCCAGCAAGAAGCGCTGGAAGATCTCTCCCAAGGCACTCCATGAAGGCGATCTCGAAGTAAAACGAAGTAAAGACTGTCAGACCAGATGGAATGATCACATCAGCGGCCAGTTCAGTCGGATATTCTCCACCAGTCTTGCTCTTCATCAATCGTCACTTCTGAGTCGTCACACCAGATGAACTTGCAGCGCCAGCAGAAACTTGATCTCGAAGGAAGAACTCCAGCTTTTCCTCATAAGCATCCAGCCTTCAGGGACAATATCAGACTGCAGGATTTTGAAGCATCTGTTCCGAACTCGAACCAGGCATGAACCGTGCATGCATAATACATGCCTGGCTAAATGGGCATGCAACACTTACCCATCTCATGTTGCTCACACGAGGCACGAAGGTTGCAGGCAGACCGCACACAGGAACTAAACTAGTTCACCACATGTCGTCGTCGTGAAATCTTCCCACAGCGTGCTGATCAAATTCAAGCGTCCCATGTGGGAGAAGTGCGTGCGCAGCATTGGAGATCTCCTCCATGGCAAAAGCTTCTGCAAAGGAACTCCGGATGACAGGCAGCCATTCTCGCACAGGAGCTGCGGGAACTGAAATCTGAACTCGCCACAAGCATCTCACGAACTATGCAGAGCTCCCGCACGGCCACGGTTGCAAGATCACCTGCCGCAGGGGCACCGGCATGAAAACGGTGCTATTTTTTTTTTTGCAAGCGCAGGGCCCAAGATAGGTCCCGTCTGCTCCGACCGTTCAGGAACGCTGCGAGG